AGCTAAAAACTATATGTTTTAATTATCTGTACGATGGACTTAACCGGATCAAAATCAAACAGAAACCAAAATTTAGTATATATAGTTAACTAGATTTAAATCAAACAAGAACAAAAATTTAGTATAATTGGACTGAACTAAATAAATTTTAAAAAATGTAAATTATAAATAGATCTGATTTTGTTAACTATACTATAAGTTTAAATTTATTTAAAGTTAAAATTCTTTCCCTGTAAATAAAGAACCAAACCAAAACGAACGGAGTTTTGCTAAACCTTATCAATTTTGCTAGGTTTTAACTCGGGATAGAATCCAAAATAAGCTAACATATTCAAAGTAAACAATCATTTATAGCTATGTTCAAAAAGAATCTATAAACCATAAAGCTGAGGTTAATACGTACCTGTTGGTTGTGCCGGATCTAGGTTATGTGGATGAGTGGTTGCAGCAGCAGAGGATTTTAAAGATGCTTCATCGGTTATGTAAACTTTCAAACCAAGCTCACCTCTTACACGAGAGAAAATCCCACGTTTCTCCATGGGAAAGTGAAGAACAACAGCATCAGAGTAAGGAACAAAAGAGGTCCCAGGGAGAGATACCTTGCCAAGGAAGGAGCGTCCATTAGTAGGTCTGTTGTGGCTATATGCTTGAGCTTCAAGAGTGAGATAGTGTAGTCGAGATGGATCTGAGATGTTGAAGAAAAAACTCTCGTTCCAAACTGGGTTTAGATCTCGATCTTTTATCGTTGTTCGGTGCTTCTGACCGTCGAAGTATAGTTCAACGAAAGCGTTTGCAGTTCCTTGACCGTCTTTTGGGAAGAGATTGTGTGCTCCGATCACGTCTACCCCGAGTTTTAGATTGCTCATCATCATGAGATCTTCGATCTTCTTTTGTTGGATTTGATGAAAACTTATGAAAATGATTGTTGATCTACTTAAGAATCAAATGATATGCATGAACACAAACGTAAAAAAGAATCAAGCATTTATAACTTCAGTTTCGATAAAGGTCTGGAAACAATATTATATACTACACTTTAATATTATATATATGCACATGCATTCTTTAGTATATGCATGTATAGGTTGTCGAGAAATTAAAGTTATTATGGGAGGACCAACTTAGATTTCGGGCAAGGGTGGACAATGTTCTTGGAATTTTCTTAAATGTTTCTTTCTCATCTAGAACAAAATGAGAAGAGAAGAACCGACTTTCCCGTATACTTATAATATATATAATAATGCAAATTTGTTTTACAAGTTGATATGGGATGGTCTGCCTTAACATACTGACTATAGTTATAAATAGGATATGGTGTACCTCAACCCCATTGGTGTACTAAAGGATAAAAAGAAAATTTAAGTTTACAAAAAATACTTATTCGTAAAGAGTCATAAATTGGAATGTATATCAAAGGGAAATGTCAACTCTGTGCCCTCTTTTCTTAATTGGGTTAAATGAATTCCGGGAGGAAAGTTCAAGATGAGAAAACCATATATTATATCTCCACATAAATGCAGACGCGTATACAAGAGCGAGTGAATGCATTCATATATACGTATATTTAAAACTTAAAGAGTCAATTTGATCCATGATTTTAGCTAAAGATCCTAAAAGAACGCTTTTCTCACATGAGTTCCCTTGTCATATAAGAATTGAGCTGCTCTTAAGATCTAAACTTCAACCAATAGTACTAGGCACCTTTGTTTATTCGAGTGCATGATATGATGATTACGTACATAGTGGTTACGGGACTGATTACATCGTTATGTTCTAAAAAATATCATTGCTCACATATTTCTTCTTCCCTAGTTTTTCATATATAATCATTATAAAATATTAGTGTGTATTTTAGGATCAACAGATATTTCGGTCGATGTTCATAGGGTGTTAACCGACACTAGCTACTTATCGAGAGTTCTCAGTATCTTCAGAGTGTTCCGCTCGATGCTGAGTAGGTGCCGATTGACACCAGTGAGTTCTTCTGAATGACATAGAACTTTCAACCTGAAAATCGCTTTCTCCAAATTTCTCATACTTCACCACTTGCCAAAAATTATCTTTAATAATAATATTCATGTGGTGTTTTTTTATTGTTTCACCTTTGCTCTTTAACAAGGCTTCTTGTCTCCTGACATCTTCACTGGTATGGAAAATTTGAATGTCCAATTTTTTTCACATTAAGTGTCTAGAGCTTCAAATGTGTTGTTCAGCTTAGTACACACAACATATAGCTTTCCAGTGAATACCACTGTCATCTTCTGCTGTCCTTCTATGATTTGGTCTAGAATATCCTCAATTTTGCTATCTTGACTTGTTGGAACATGAGTTTGTTGAGAAGAAACACTATAGTTTCTGGTAAAGTTGTTACTACTGTTGTTCATATTGCTTTGGAAGATTTCTGGTACTGTGAGTTCTGATTGTTGAATTTATTTCTCTGACCATTGCCACTGAAATTCTTATTCTCTGCTGATTCCAATTATTCTTCTTCTTCTTCTTCGACAGCCTCTACACCTTATGCGAATCTAACTTGCTTCTTGAGGAGATTGTGAACTGTATCAAGCTTCGCTTTCCCTTCATCTGATTCTTGTCCAAGCTATCAACAAACTTTTTCTTTTTGTAGTCAGTATTCTTGGTACTATTGTTAGATACCAAGTTCTAAATAAGTCTCACAACTTTCTCTAGATTTTTTGGTATTGAAATTTCTCTCGTTAGCTGTGTTAAGAGCCATATGATAAACTCAGGCAAAACCCCTGAAGAAGATTGTAACATCCCGAGTTGTGATATGTAGAAAGGCTTAAGAGAATTGATTTGGCTACCTATGTCACCAAAGTGCACTTACCTTTTCGGAAGCACATCCAGAGAGAACTCCAGAGTTAAGCGTGCTTGAGCTGGAGTAGTCAAAGGATGGGTGACCTATCGGGAAGTGGTTTGCGATACCGTGTAAGTGAGGCCAAAGCACGGGAAAAAGTCAGGTGGTGATTGCAGGGTCAGTAAACATGACTCCAGAGCCTTGGAAAATTAACGGACCGGCCGTTGGAACGGGATGGGGCCCACGGGCCGAGAGAACGGACGTGGGTGGCCCATTAGCCGTGGGCGGTCGGGGCGTTACAAGTGGTATCAGAGCTGGTTAGTCATCTCAGTTCTGACCTGAGAGGCGTCTTGAGACCTGTCGTGGGGCGCAACGAGGACGTTGCGTTCTTTGAGAGGGGGTGAATTGTAACATCCCGAGTTGTGATATGTAGAAAGGCTTAAGAGAATTGATCTGGCTACCTATGTCACCAAAGTGCACTTACCTTTTCGGAAGCACATCCAGAGAGAACTCCAGAGTTAAGCGTGCTTGAACTGGAGTAGTCAAAGGATGGATGACCTATCGGGAAGTGGTTTGCGACACCGTGTAAGTGAGGCCAAAGCACGGGAAAAGGTCAGGTGGTGATTGCAGGGTCAGTAAACATGACTCTAGAGCCTTGGAAAATTAACGGACCGGCCGTTGGAACGGGATGGGGCCCACGGGCCGAGAGAACGGATGTGGGTGGCCCATTAGACGTGGGCGGTCGGGGCGTTACAAAGATCTCAAGTAGCTGTACCTCATTGAACCTATGGTGTGGACAATCCCTTTGATATGATATGAATCTTTTCCATGAGCCCCTGGAGGATTTAGTGGGTCCTTGAGTGAACATGGAGTTTTTTTTCCTCAAGTGTTCAGATCTAACTTCATCAAAGAAATTTCACTGGAAGGCATTTTTGATAACTGTCCAAGTAGTAAAAGACATTGGTGGTAGCTTCTTAAGCCATATAAAATTAGATAGATTATTATTATTATTATTATCAAATTATATGTTCTTATTGTAGTTCGATGTTTAATTTTGGATATAAATTAGGTTAGTCGAGTAATTTATTTTGTGAGTATATTGAGTTAAATATATTTTTAAATTAAAATTAAATTATAATTACTTTTTTATTTAGTTAAGTGAAATCAAATTAGTTTTATTATCGCTTAAATATACATGTTTTTTTAATAATATTTATTTACTCTTTATTTAGTTTAGTCAAATCAAATTAGTTTTATTTATCGCTTAAATATACATGTATTTTCATAATATTTATCAAATTATATGTTGATTTCTGAAAATATTAGAAAATAAAGTGTAACTGATCAGTTTTTGAATGTTCATGAACATATGTATTTTTATTTTTTTGAGAATATATTTTATGTTATTTAAATATATATATTAATGAGAGTATTACTATTTTGTGAACTTTCCTTTTTAATAAAGTCATATTATATACATATATTTTCGTTTTTAAATTTGATTTAAATTTTTTGGAAATATTTCTTTTTTTATTATATAAGTTATTTGGAAAAATGTAAAAAAGAAACTAAATTAAAAAAATTAATAATAATCTTAAAATCTAACAATTTATTAAGGGTGTCTATGTAATCAACCATCGCGAGAGTTAACGTGATCGCGATACGTAGGAAACTGACTTCTCAAATAATATTATAGAGATACACTAGAAACTGCATCAAGAAAAAAAAGGAACTTTTTAGTACTGAGAAAGAAATGAAATTAAAAAAAAAGACTAACTTTCATTATTATTTAATACAAAACTCCTTAGAAACAATTATAAATTCCAAATCATACTATATAGTTTTCCTCACATTGTATACTATCTTGCATATCTTCACAACACGTAACACTCTTACTATCTTCGAGGTATCTTTTGTAGACGAGCTCACAACACCATCATGTTTATTCACAACACGTAAACTCTTACTATCTTCTTTTCATCACATCAATATTTTTTGTAATTTGAAGAATTCTGAAAACCAATTTTCCAAAAAAAACAAGCACAAAATTCTTTAAAAGAAAACTAAACAAGCATCTATAATGATCCCGGCCCGTAGTTAAGAATCACCAGTTCTGTGTGTTGGGAGTTACCAGGTCCCTTCAAAGAATGTTAGTAAGATTTTAACACGGATAGTATATGTAAGAGTGTACATTTATATATTTTTCCATTTAACCTGTTCCAATTATACACAGAAACTATAACATTTTGTGAATCCGAATTACATGAGGAAGAATCCAAATCCATAAAACTGTACAACATTACAGAAGATCACTCCCATTAGAAGATATCATCAACTGCTACATTAGATGAAGGCAGCTCACGCTCATCTTCCTTCTCCATCTGCAACTCCGGTTCGAACTCTGCCAATTCAACAGCCGCAAGCTTCTTCAAATCAATAACCGAGAGCTCGTCTAACCTTCTCACCACCAGATCAGCAGCTCCAAGCTCATACATCGGGTGTTTGCTAGCGACAGCCACACACTTCATCTTCCCATCATGAGCAGCCTCAATGGTCTGGTTCGAGTTTCCAAACACAATGCAACGTTCCGGTATGAAATCAAGAAGCTGCGCTGCGTAAACAAACATCTCCGGATCCGGTTTACCTCTGTGAACATCTTCAGATGCAACTATCACACTAAAGAACTTCCTTATCCCTATCGAACCAACAGCATTCTCTAGCGTCTCACGAGGACGGGTCGAAACCAAAGCCATGGGGATCTTGTTGTTCATCAAGACATTCACAAACTCCTGTGACCCGTCTCTGAGTCTATACACTCCTCCATGTAAAGCCTTGAAGATCTCTTCTTTCCGTGACGCCATTCTCCTAACTTGAGCAGGGTCTCTCGACCAACACAGTACCTCAGAAACCGCTTGCTCGTTCTTCATCCCTTCAATACGTCTAAGCACAAAAGCTGGAGGAGGGGACTTACCTTCCTCCTGAGCTAAAGTAAGCCATGACTGGTTCTCAAGGTCAGGATTGTCTTCAATCAAAACCCCTTCCCACTCAAAGATCGCACCTAACCAACCACAACCCATACGCTCTTGCCTTAGCAAAGGGTTGTGCAAGGAAGGCTTGTCGGCTTTGTTCTCAGGAGGCCACAAACCGGGTTTATCAATCGAACCAGAATCAAGGTAGCTCCAAGTCTTTGGCAACCTCTCGTCTTTCTTCCTATAAGCAGGCATCTCTTTCGTTAGCTCCATAGCAAGTGCCCTGATTGGCTTCTTTCCCACACTCTGAATCTTATCAAACACAACCCCTTTCACGGGGAATCGAACTGTGCTCTGTAGCTTCTGAGTTTTCGCTTCGTTCTTGACAGAGATCCTCACAATCGAAGGTCGATGACACACCAAAGACACAGCATCCGCCATGGTTACAGAATCAAGAAACCCTAATTCAATCCCAAGGCTCTACCAATCTTAATAGAATCCAATGAGACTTTTACACCGATACAATTCCAAACCCTAATCGATCACCTAGCCTGAGAATCCATTAGAAAGATAGAAACTTTGAGAGTAAAATTCCTTAGAGCCTAGAAATTTACAAGACCCAGATGACGAAGCTTTGAAGATCGATCTATGTACACGAGAAAGTGAGGGAATTTTCGATTGAAACCTGGGAATGGAAACAACCGATTGATAGAAAACTCAAAGGCGAAGTTTACTTTGTGATTCTCTTATATTATTATAATTGTTTTTGTTTTCTTGATTTCAATTGTTTTATTTTGTGTGTGGACTGTAATAATTCGCAGAGAAGCCATCGATCCAGATATTTCTAGTTTCTGTTTATCTTACGGTGGATAAACAATCCACGTGTCAGATGTCGGGGTGTCTACGGAAAAGATTATTCTATGATGAAATACCGCTACCGCTAGAAGAGAGGAGATTCCTCCTTTGCCACGTCTCTCAATCTCTAAACTCACGTGTCTTTTAACAAGTACCGAGACGTTAAAAAGCTCACTGGTCTAAACTTTTTCCGCCCAAGAGCTTCGAGACGTTAAAAAGCTCGTTAGTCTAAGTTTTTTTTATCTACCGTATAAATTAGCCCTTTGATTTCGGTTAGATGGTTCGGTTAGTGTCGGGTTTTTCGATTTGCTGGTCTTTTTGGAGTTTGGATTTTTTCCGGCCTAAACTGAAATTTAATTCGGTTCTAATCAGTTAGTTAACGGTTATTTTTTGTTTCCAGCTTAATTTAAAACAACAAAAAATTATTTAATAAATAATTTTTTGTTAAATCGATTTCCCAATTATTTTTAATTACTTTTTTGTTACCTGATGAGACAACACTAAACAAAAGTTCAAGGACAAAGTATTATGACTTAGTCTTCAAGTTATTTCCTATGTTTATGCAAATAAAAAAATAACGACTCCACTACATGTTACGTAGGAGAAGAGTGATCCACTTTCCCTTTCACGTTTATAGGAGTTTGCTTCATGTATATTTTCTATTTAAATCAATGAAAACAACAAAAAGAGGTAGTCTTAACTACCTAAAGAAGAACAAAACTATCATCAATAACACACCTTACAACCAATGGCGAAACAAGAGGCGACGGCGGATTCCAGATTGAAACTTCCATTGAGGTTTTGATCTTCCATTGATTTGCTTGTTCCATGACAATAGATCATCTCCTCTCTGAAGAAGGCCCATGCGTTTCCATCATCGACGGCGTTCTTCACAGTGATAGTTTGTTTAACAAGTTACCTCTGATCCTGATCTTATGTCGGGGAATTTGGTGTTGATACATACAGATCGTGGCTTCGTGTGTTAACTAACGACGCTCTCTCTCTCTCTCTCTCTATTAGATCTCAATCCTCCGCGTGATCAGACAGTCTTCTTTGCTTTGTGTGATCGTTACATCCTTTGGCTGGACCTTTTGATTCTCCTTGGAATCTTGTGGCTTCAGTCTGTTATTTTGATTCCCTGTGGCTGGAATAATCTTCGTCTCCCTGTGGCTGGACCTTTTGATTCTCCTTGGAATCTGGTGGCTTCAGTTTGTTATTCTCCAATATCACGTACTCTGTGTTTTGGAACATAAAACAGAGACTTTCAGGTTAACGTACTCTGTTTTTAGCACATAAAACAGACTTCCACTATCACGGACTCTTTTGGTCCTTCTAAGTGCGATGAGGCCTTATGGTGGTAGCATCTCGGCTGACATGAAAGGCAAAGGCATCATGATCGACGAAGAGGAAAAGCCCTTTAGGCTAATTGATGATGAAGACTCTCACGTGGTTAATGACTTTAAACTTTCGTTAATTGGGAAGATTCTGAACCCAAGAAAACAAAATGTTGAACGCTTGATTAACTACATGCCAGGGAAGTGGGGTATGGAAGATTGAATTACGGCGAATGATTTGAAGAATGGAAATGTTTTGCTGAACTTTACTTCGGAAGAGGATATCAAGACAGTACTTCGACAAGGTCCATTCCACTTTAATTTATGTATGTTTGTGCTTGTGAGGTGGGAGCCTATTGTTCATGATGAATACCGTTGGAAGATACCTTTTTGGGTGACAATAACGGGTGTTCCTTTGCACTTGTGGACCATTAAGAACCTTTGTGGCCTTGGGGACACTTTGGGGCATGTTGATACGCTGGAACTTGAGGAGGGGAGAATGCTAATTGATATTGATACACGCAAGCCCTTGAAGTTCACGAGAATGGCCACGAACTCTGAAGGTGACGAGGTCACAATCAAGATTGAATATGATCTCCTCTTTAAGCACTGTACTACGTGTGGTTTTTTAACTCATGAGAAGGAGTATTGTCCCTCGAAACCAATGCTAAATATGCTCGGGATGATGTTGTTGTTCGTGCTGTGGTACCTAAAGTGGAGGGGGGACAACATGCTCGGCGAGGACAACACTTGCGGATGACTCTAAATGGTACCACGAGCAATGATCTTCGGGTACTTGACAGTAAAGCTCACAAAACCGAAGCTCACACACGCCATAATGGCCCAGAAAACCAATGGGCTAATGTTGAGTCTTATGCTCACAATGGTGTTGGCTTTGCATCACGGGACCAGTTTGAGTATCGGCGATCTGAAAGCCGAAATAATCACCAACAGCATAGAGTGATTCGACGACGGAATCAAAAGCTATTAACATTTCATCATCAAGCTATTTTTGATAGGAAGACGACCCATCACTGGAGGGCGAAGCATACTTCTCGTGAAGGTGTGACTTATGGTAACACTGATAGTGATGTTAGGAGTAATGAGGGTGGCAAAGTTCTGTTTTCTAGGTTCTGACTCTTATAATCGGAGGGACAAAGGTGAATGGCGAGAAAAGAACATAGATAAGGAAAAATCTGAAGATCACGTTCGGCTAGTGGTAAGGGATGGTAATGCTGCAGGGTCTCGGAATGGTAGGAACTTATCCTTTGATAGGTCTTCTCGTCATGAGTATAAGCCTACTGAGAGTAGGAGCTCTCATTATCTAGCAATGACATAAGGATTCGCCGGGAGCATGATGTTAGCAGGAGTTCTCGAGGTGAACGAGGTGTTGAGGGCGAGATAAGTTCTCATGAACGTCAGCTTGGTCCATATGGCCGACACAAGACGTGGGTGGTTAGTGAGATTGATATAAATGTAAGGCATCCTATGGTGGTTGATGCATCTGCAGATCCCCTTGGGATCATTGAGGTTCCACAGCGGAAAAGATTAGCCAGCAAGATTACTTCTCCAAACATGCAAGACAATGTGATGCTACGTGAACGAAGTGTGGTGCGTTCCTTGACGTATCCCATGGATCTTACTGAGCCTGAGATTTAGGATCCAGGAATAATTGCTGCTTTGACAAATATAGAGGTCCCAGTAAACAAAGACGCGGAAGGATTGGATGAGGAGGATGATTTATTTGATGAGGAGATCACAGATTTGGAAGCACCAACGGAGAGGCATATTCCACGACAAAAGGAGGCTGTTAGAAGCTCAAGAAGTGTCAAGGGATCAAGGAGTGGGATCAGGAAAACCCCCATGAAAAAAGATGTTCTACGCCGAGGATCCCCTCGGTTGAGAGTCCTAAGCTCTACAGCCCACAAGCAAACTGGCGATAAAGGCACCACAAGAAGTTCGAAGCTTCATAAACGCAGTGGTTCGATGGGGTCCAAAAACCCATCCCACATTCATCCATGAAGACACTCAGTTGGAACTGTCGAGGAATTGGGACTAACCTCACAGTTCGACGCCTTACGGAGATGTGTCAGAAGCATCGCCCATGACTAGTGTTCCTTTCCGAAACAAAGAACAGGAGGCTGCTGTTGCAAGACATTCATGCCGACTTAGGATTTGATCGTTTGTTTACTGTTGAGCCACTTGGTCTCAGCGGAGGTTTAGCTTTATTTTTTATGGATGATTTTCAAGTTAAGATTTTATTTTCGAATAACAGAATGATTGACATTGAGGCAGTCATTGATGGAATAATAGTCTATATGACATTTGTTTATGGGGATCCTGTAATAGCAAGAAGAGATCTAGTTTGGGAACGTCTTACGCGTTTCTCAACAACACAAAATGGACCTTGGTTTATGATTGGTGATTTTAAGTAAATAACTTGTCATGAGAAAAAGGAAGGGGGCAGGGAACGCACTGATAGTTCCTTCCTACCTTTTAAGAAGATGCTCAGTGACCGTGGTATGCTGGATTTCCCTTTTACAGGGAACATGCTTTCCTGGGTAGGAAGACGAGCATGAAATGCTACTGTTAGATGTCGTCTTGATAGGACTGTGGGTAATGAGAACTGGCTTGAGAAGTTTCCTCATTCAAAAGTGCAATACCTGAGGCTTTGGGGTTTGGATCATCGTCCAATCCTAGCAGATATTCTTAAGAAAAAGACACGAAGGTCAAAAAGCTTTAAATTTGATAAACGATGGCTTCAGAATGAGGAACTTACACAAATTATACTTGAAGGATTGAAATCACCAGACCTACCTCCGGATGCGAGCATTATGGATCATATTGCATGCTGTAGACGAGCGTTATGTGACTGGAAAAAATAGCACAATCTGAATTCAGAGAAAAGTATAGAGGAGCTAAAGAAGAAGGTGGATCGGTAATTCCTCCAACGATGATGCCACTACAGAGGAGATCGCTGCGGCGTTAAAAGAATTGTCTGATGCCCTTAAGACAGAGGAAATGTTCTGGAAGTAGAAGTGTAGGGTTTTCTGGTTAAGGGAGGGAGATCAAAACACTAATTTTTTTCACGCCCTCACAAAGCAGCAAAGAGCGAAGAACATGATAACCCAACTATTGGATGCAGATGGGAATGTTGTGGAGGATGAGGAAGGTTTGGTAGCCATTGCTACTAGCTATTTTCGACAAATTTTCCAATCATCAAACCCTGAGGAGATAGAGGATGCACTTTCAGAAGTCACCACTACAATTATGCCAGCAGATAATGAGGGTCTAACAGCACCGGTTTCAGAATGGGAAGTTAAGTTAGATCTTTTTGCAATGCACCAAGAGAAAGCCCCAGGACCCGATGGAATGACAGCTTTGTTTTATCAAATTTTTGGGATATAGTGAAGGATGATCTAACTCTTATGGTTAATCAATTCTTATTTTAAGGGACTATACCGGCTGGTATAAATGATACTAATATATGCCTTATCCCAAAAGATGATAAACCAAATCAGATGAGCCAGCTCCGACCTATTAGTCTTTGTAATGTTTGTTACAAGATTATTTCCAAGGTCTTATGCCAAAGATTAAAAAAGGTCCTCCTAGATAGGATTTCAGAAACCCAGTCAGCCTTTGTTGCTGGGAGACAGATATCAGACAACATAATGATTACCCAGGAATTGTTTCATGCTTTACGAACAAAAACAAGTGGACGCAATAAGAGGATGGCAATCAAAACATACATGAGCAAGTCATATGATAGAATGGAATGGTCTTTCATTGAAGCCACCATGAGGAAGATGGGATTCTCAGAAGTCTGGATTACCAGGATTATGCAATGTGTAACATCAGTAAAGTACAAGGTACTTAGAATGGACAGCCAAGAGTGAATATTATCCCGGAAAGAGGTCTACGACAGGGAGATCCTTTATCCCCTTTCATTTTTATTCTATGCACGGAAGCGCTCTTTAGCCTTCTTAATCACGCAGAGAATCAGGGAAAGATAACGGGGATGCGCATCACGCGTGCGTGTCCGTCGGTATCCCACCTACTCTTTGCTGATGATAGCCTTTTCTTCTGTAAGGCGGAGCCCCGTGAATGTGAAGAAGTAATCAAGGCGGTTAGGAAATATGGACAAGCCTCTGGACAATGCATTAATTTTGACAAGTCTTCTCTACTCTTTGGTAAGAGGATCGGTCAAGAGGCCAGGCAGGAGATCAAAGATACACTTGGGATCCAAAGTGAAGCAGGAATGGGAACTTACCTAGGGATACCAGAAGATATCTGTTGCTCGAAATGTAAGCTGTTTGCCTTCTTAAAAGACAAGCTTCGGAATAGAGTGAATGGATAGATGGGCAGGTGGTTATCTAAAGGTGGAAAGGAAGTAATGATAAATTCAATCCTGCTAGCTCTCCCTACCTATGTTATGTCTTGTTTTTTGCTCCCATTGGAGATTTGTGATGTCTTGGCTAGTGCTGTTGCACAGTTTTGGTGGAGTTCAAACCCACCAAAGAGAGGCTTACACTGGACAACATGGATAAGTTATGTTTATCTAAAGAGGAAGGAGGAATTGGTTTCAGGATGATCCATGAGTTTAACCTGGCGCTACTAGCAAAGAAGTTGTGGAGATTGGCCCAGAACCCAGATTCCTTGGTAGCTCGAGTTATGAGAGGTCGGTATTATCCACTAAGTTCGCCTTTGCGAAAGCTTACTGTCAGTAGCCCATCATATGTCTGGACAAGCATCTCGGCAGCACGTGAATTATTGCTATTGGGGGTTAGACAGAAAATACATTCAGGTTATGAAGTAAAGGTATGGGATGACTCTTAGATTCCCACAATCCCAGCGAGTCCAGCGCATGCGTATGCTCCGGTCCTGCATCCGAACATGAGAGTGAGTGATCTTATCAATCAAGAAACAAAGTCTTGGGATCTGGATCGGCTGGCAAATTATGTTGATGCTTCTGACATACCTCTCATAAGGAGTATGGCTATTAGTTCAACACATCGCAGAGACACATACTGCTGGAGTTACACAAGGAGTGGGCAGTACACAGTCAAGTCTGGCTATTGGGTAGCTCGAAATATTCTAAAGAAGAAGGAAGAGAATCTGGTAGATGAACCTAGCATCAAAAGACTCCAAGCACAGGTCTGAAAGGTTAAAGCACCCCCGAAGATGTGCCATCTTATGTGCAGATTATTTCGGGGCAGGTGGCTGTTACGACTGCGCTGAATCATAGACACATGAGATGCTATAACTTTTGCCCACGATGTGGAGAACCGGATGAAACAATTGCACATGCAATTTTCCTATGCCCACTGGCATTACAGGTGTGGGCCTTAGCATCTATACCCACCACTTCAACTTTGTTCCCTTTGGAGAGCACATATTCAAATATGGATTATCTATTCTGGCAAAAAAAGGCCATATGTGGGCCAGAATTAGACAGGGATCCTTATCCTTGGTTAATATAGTACATTTGGAAGGCTCGGAATGATAAGTTGTTCAGAGAAATAGATAGAGACCCTCTGGAACTAGCCCGGTATGCAGAGAGTGAGTGTCTTGCCTGGTTCCAAGCTAATGAGCAGGAAGTTGTGGTTACACAAGAGAGCGGCGATACTGAACGTCAGGCCATAAGTCTACATGATATTTGTAAGATAGACGGTTCTTGGACCTCTATAGATCAATTCTCCGATTGTGGTTGGGATTGGAAGGATAGCATGGGAAATAGTCAGCTGATGGGGATGCGTAATGTTAGGAGGGTGGAGTCGGCTTTGCATTCTGAGCTAGAAGCACTGCGGTGGGCAATTGAGAACATGCTTCAACATTCGCCATATCAGAGCTTTGGGACGGATTGCAAGGAATTGTTAGCAATGCTCAAGAACCCCCATGGATGGCCAAGATTTTTGACGGAACTGGAGAGCATCTCGACGTTGAGGATTTGTTTCCCTGACTTCAAGATCACTTATGTACCTAGATCTCTAAATGCTGTGTCCAATCATTTAGCTAAGACTGTCCGATCCTTTTATCGTGATCTCATGTATGTTGGTTGTTCTATTCCGGTCTGGATTCCCAGACCACCTCAAGCTTGAGTAATAGATTAACCTTTCGTTGTCAAAAAAAAAAAAAAAAAACCCTACCTAAAGAAAAGTGTGCTCTTTGTTTGTATTAGATAAATTCTCTTTGATTTGAAGAGGGACCTTAATTGGTAGCAAATCACATGTTTCTAGATCATCAATAGATAATCCTATAACTGGGACTTATCTATTGGTATCAGAGTATGTTTTGTTTTTTTAATCCGGACCACTTTGTTGTATCAAAAAACTTTTTATTTTTCATCTTCTTTATTATTGGTATTCTTCATGAATCAACGGCTATTCTTCAGAATCCTCGATGAACGGCTATTCTTCAGAATCAACGATCATCGAGATCAAATCCAGCTATTTTTTTTTTATTTTCACCATTTTCTTCTTTCCGGGTTTGTTGATCAAGTTCAACATTCTTTCTTTTTTACGGATTAAAATCTGTAATTCTTCCATTATTTTTTCGGTTTTCAAAAAAAAAAAATCATATTTCTTTGTCATTTTTAGAAAAATAAGTTTATTTCCAATAATGAACTATGGAAACAATTTGGTATTGGTCTTGGTGGATGT